GGGCCTTCTTCCTCCCCTGCCCGGGTAGCTGCACCCTCACGGCTCTGGCGCCCGCAAAGGAAAGGCCTGTGGCTCCTCGATCCTCTTGGACGGCGGGACCCGCGGGGACCCGGCTGTCCCAGGCCCCAAGTGGGAGATGCGAAGCCGCCCTTGGTGCCGTGGCTCTGGGTGCGTCGTAGCGGCACGCGCGCAGGTCCTCCCCCCACCCCCACCCCACCCCCGTAGAAGCCAGAACAAAAACCTGGCTCCTTAGGAATGTCACTGCTGGCTGGCCCTGGGGGCACCTTTAGTCGCCTGATTTTTTAAAACTGGGTAGGTCCTCTCTGCTTCCCTTAGGATAACGTGGAGAGGGCGGACGCCCTACAGCTCTCGGTGGAAGACTTTGTGGAGCGATACGAAAGGCCTTACAAGCCCGTGGTTCTGCTGAACGCCCAGGAGGGCTGGTCCGCGCAGGAGAAATGGACTCTGGAGCGCCTGAAGAGGAAGTACCGCAACCAGAAGTTCAAGTGCGGGGAGGACAATGACGGCTACTCGGTGAAGATGAAGATGAAGTACTACATCGAGTATATGGAGAGCACGCGGGACGACAGCCCCCTGTACATCTTCGACAGCAGCTACGGTGAACATCCCAAAAGAAGGAAACTTCTGGAAGACTACAAGGTGCCCAAGTTCTTCACCGATGACCTTTTCCAGTACGCAGGGGAGAAGCGCAGGCCCCCTTACAGGTACAGCACCCCCCTTTACAAAGCAGTGAGTGGTTTCCCTTTGGCTGCACCTGGGACTGACTTTGGGGGCTACTGACGCCCGGCGGGGTCCAGAGGCTCTGGTTGAATTGGTCTGGGTGCCGCCTGGGCCTCGGGATTTCTGAAAGCTCCCAGGTGACTCAAACGGGCAAGCGAAGGCGAATCGCCGACCTGTAAGGGAAGTTGTAAGTCCAGCGCTAAGCCCCGTTAGCGGTTTTCCTTTTTTCTGTTAGTGATCAGTCCACCCACAATTCACTCAGCATTTCTAGGTTCCAAAATTCGTGTAGTCTTTGCAACAAAGATGATACAGTGTAGTGTGTGACTGCAAGCTTGTTTGGGGCGGGGTGTGTGTGGTTAAATTGCTCTTCATTTCTTGGATGTTTCTGTCCTGTAGGTGGTTTGTGATGGGGCCCCCACGCTCCGGAACCGGAATTCACATCGACCCTCTGGGAACCAGCGCCTGGAATGCCTTGGTGCAGGGCCATAAGCGCTGGTGCCTGTTCCCCACCAGCACCCCCCGGGAGCTCATCAAGGTGACCCGCGACGAAGGAGGGAACCAGCAGGATGAAGCTATCACCTGGTTTAAGATCATCTATCCCCGGACACAGCTGCCGACCTGGCCACCCGAATTCAAGCCCCTGGAAATCTTGCAAAAGCCGGGAGAGACTGTCTTTGTGCCAGGTACAGATGAACTGGAGCAAGTGCTCTCTGAGCTTAGCGATCTGTCCTTTTGGAGCAGAACTGCACAGAGAGGGAGTCCAGGAAACCCCTCCAGCCGACTACAGAGCTGCCTGCCCACCTCTGACAGCGAAATGCTGCTGTGTTGTCAGGTGCTGGGGGCCTGCTGTCCACTGTCATCTCGATACATGACTATTGGTCACCTTTCTGTGTTTCGGATCCTACTTGTTTTTATCCTTAGTTTCCCTAGGGTCTTGTATATGTTCTGTGACTTGTGCATATTTCTGTAACTTGGGGCTTGATACAGTGTCGTACTGGGTAGGCTGAGCCAGGAAATAGTGACTTAGAGCCTAGAGGCAGGAATCAGTTCCATACCCGATGCCTCTGACAGGTTAAGTGTTGGGAATAAAGGTATTTCGGGTAGACGTCCTCCTCCTGAGGCTGGAGAGCGTGCTGCCTTCACAGTGGGTCGCAGCTGTGAGTGAGCAGGAGAGGACACGCTTTCTCTGTAAAGGCGCAGAGGGTGAGCACGTCAGGCACTGGCCAGGCGGCCTGTGTGGCAGTTGCTCAGCTCTGCCCTAGTAGCAGGGAAGCAGCCATAGGCGATCCCGAGTGAGTGGGCACAGCCATGGCCCAGTAAAACTTACCGCAGGTCCTTCTGACTCCGGGCCAGGAGGAGCAGGTCCGCCCCGCACCGTCTCGGAGGCCCCGCTGGTGGGAGCAACCCGCTTCTGCAGTTCACGTTCAGTGTTGTATACTGTTGATGTTCTAGAGCGATTGGGCACAGAACCCGGCCCTACGTAACCGTTTACTTGTTGGCTTTCAGGAGGCTGGTGGCACGTTGTCCTCAATCTTGACACCACCATTGCCATCACCCAGAATTTTGCCAGCAGCACCAACTTCCCTGTTGTGTGGCACAAGACGGTAAGAGGGAGACCAAAGTTGTCCAGGAAATGGTATAGGTGAGAGCCATTTTTTTCTTATTTGTGATTTGTTCCAATTTCTACCGGAGAGAAATGGAAAGAGCCCGCCGTTGCGATGCCAGGGGCTGAAATTAGGCGGGCCTGGCAGAAGCTGGGGCTGGTGAGCACGCAGGTGCAGGGAGAGGGTCAAGGTCATCAGGGCTAACTCTCAGGATGCTCCAGCCTCCAGGGAGCAGGTAGCCCCGCACTGTTGATCAGAGCGTCAAACACTCGCGTCGTCGGGGTCATTTCCCCTTTTGTTGTTTTTTTTGTTTTTCCCCCAGAGCTTGCACTAGCAAAGGAACCCATTTTGTTTGGGTTTTATTTTGCTTGTTTCTTTTTCTTACCCAGAAGCATTATTCCCTTCAGTCTTAGGAGTGAGGTCACTGTCCTGGAGACTTAGCTCCTCTGTTTATCCACAGAACAGATACAGCACGGGCAGCGGCAGTGCAAGCCACCCCCAGCCACCCCGTGCCACTGTGTCCCAACCCTGACCTGGAGGGACCAGCTCTCGGGGTAAGAGGGATTCTGGCTTGTTCAGGGCTCAGCCCCCCTGCCGAGAGGGCCAGCAAGGGTGGTGGCTTCGTTCTCCCCGACTCTGGGCACCTGAGGCCCGTCGCCCTCCGCAGGCTGCCGCGTGCTCCGTGGGCCGTTCTGTAGGCCCTCCTCCGCAGGGCTTTGTCCCTGTCACGGGAGATGTAGATGCCAGGTTAGGTCCCGAGGGGGGGCTGCTGCCTCCGATGGCCCAGTTCCGTTTTATCCTCGATGCTTCTTCTCACAGACCTGATGGTTTCTACTCTCACCAATAGAATTTCATTATCAGTGCAACTCCGATCATAAGTGCTGTGCTGTGCTGTGGAAAGGGAGGTTCAAAAACTCAGCCAGGAAAAGCGCAGGGAAAATGAGGAAGAGAGACTTACTCCCAAGGAGAAAAAACTAAGTCAGGGGAACATGGCCTCGAGGTAGCAGCGCGCCCGGCCCGTGGCGCTGGTGGCGGGAGCATATGGAGCTCGGGTTCCTTCCGGAAAAGCCTGAGCGTGTGGGCTCCGGCTCCCCGCCTATGGACCGTGTCCCCGCCACACGACAGCCCTCGCTCCCAACAGGCACCTGCCATTCGCCGGCGCCTCTCAGCCAGGTCTGGGCCGCAGCCGGGGAGCTGGCCTGTGGCTGTCCGTGCCTGTCCCGCCACTGAGAACGCGCTTCCTGTCTCCCAGGATCCTGAAGCAGGAGCACCCCGAGCTGGCGGTCCTGGCTGACTCGGTGGACCTTCAGGAATCCACAGGGATCGCCTCCGACAGCTCCAGCGACTCCTCCAGCTCCTCCAGCTCCAGCTCGTCGGACTCGGACTCGGAGGTGAGCCCGCTCGCCGCCAGGCCTCCAGGGCAGGTCCCGTGGAAACCAGCCGTGACTCCCTCCGCCCAGGCAGGAGGGAGAAAAATGGGGAGCTTTTCGCTTTCGGGAACCACCACTGCTTCATCCTGCCACGGAGGGGCTTTGCCCAGCTCACAGCTCTGTGTGCAACAGCCTCAGGTTAGAGGAGAGCCTGCCGGTCCGGTGAGGGAAGGCCAGGACCTCACGCTGGCAGACAGCGGCTGGAAATTCAGGCCCCAAGCATTCCGACCTCAAGGTCCAGGTTCAGATTTTCCCTCTGGGTGGTGCATTGGGAGCCTAGGAACCCAGCAAATTCAGTGACTTGCTAAAAGCTAACGCAGCATTGGGTGAGAGGGTCCTGCACCCTTAGCAGATGTGACTTCTGTCTGGTGGCTGCTTGCTGTGCTGATTTCACCCTTTCTCATGGCGGGAGGTGGTGTGTTTTATGAATGGCAAGTGCGGTGCTTACCTTCACGCATCAGGCTGTGTTGGTCGAGTGAAATTCCATGATGCAACCTCCAGATGATGACAATGTTCTCAGGGTGGTGTCCCCTCCTGTTAGAGAACACGGGGGCACTGCCTCCTGCGGGGAGATGGGGGTTCTCGGGGCACCGGAAACGTCCGATGGCGCTCGGACTGCACTGTGGAGCAGTCGCATGGCTGCTTTGCTTCTGGGGGACGTGGACCATCCGAGTGCTGTCTCCTGAGGCCGGAGGTTCCGTCCGGTTGAATTCGTTTTCTCTCCTCCGTGTCCAGTGTGAGTCGGGGTCTGAAGGAGACGGGACGATGCACCGCAGGAAGAAGCGGAGGACCTGCAGCATGATGGGGAACGGGGACACCACCTCCCAGGACGACTGCGTGAGCAAGGAGCGCAGCTCCTCCAGGTGACCGGCCAGCTCACGCTGTCGGAGGACATGCCGCGGCCAGGGCAGGGCCGGGCCGGCGGGCAGCCTGTGGGCTCTGCACACGGCGAGCCGAGAACGAGGAAGAAGAGGAGGAGGACGCTCCTGCGATGAGTCCACTCAGCATTTGCTACAGTAGCTCTTTCGTCTGTAGCAAATTACCATGGCTTGTTTTACGCGTAAAGGCAAGAACCTATGTGGATGGTGCCAAGGAAACCCTGTACATTATTTAATAAAAATGAAGTGCATTTTATATCTTTGATTTTTTTTTTCCTTTGGGAATACCAGAACCTTCGTGTGTCGCTCCTCTTGTCGTGGTCCTGGGGGGAAGTAGTGACTCCACCGTGTGCCCTCGATGGGGTGCCCTGCACAGCGAAGTCCTCACAAGGGGAAATGCGAAGGGACCCCCTGGCATCTACAGAGCCTGAGGCTGAGGCGGGGCCTGCTCTCCCACTTGGCTGCTTTGCGGGTCAGAAGCAGCAGCTCCGGCCGAGTCAGGTGACCAGAACACCGCAGGCTCCCTGCCCTGGTGCTGCGCTCCCCTCCCCCACCAGGCAGGGTGGCCACTTCTGTGTGTGGAGGACAGTGAATGCACACCCTGAGGCCGAGGTCTCCTATTATTTGAATGGTGTGCCGCCTCCTTTTTATTTTTGTTTTGTTTTCTCCTTTTTAAAGAACTTTTCTTGCCATCCTCAGGATGTCTTGATCTTTCCCCCAATACTGCTATCCTGCTCTCACACTCACCCTCACAATGATACAGCTGCTCCTCTCCCAAAGTCAATGGAAAGAAAAAAGCAGAAGGCTGTTTGCCGCCAGAGGGCATGGTAGCCGGTCAGTGCTGAGACGTGCAGGGCTGGGACGGCGGCAATATGAACTTGAGAGATTAGCCACCCTGTTTTTTTCCCCCCAGGTGCCAAAAGTGATTCCTTTTTGATAAACAACATCTGGAAATAACGGGTCAGGGATGAGGGGGGACAAAGGAGTGGAGTGGGGCCGGGCGATCAGGACCAGGTAGGAGGTGGGCACCCGGGATCCATCCCTTCTACCCGCCAGGCTTGAGCTGCTCCTTTGGGGTCAACAACAGTGAAGTGAAGGTACAACGTACAACGTCAAACTGCTTTAGAGACTACTCCAGATCATTTTAAAGCCAACAAGCTGGGTCGTGAGAGAAGGAATCTTGGACTAAATGACTGATGGGAGGAGCAGCGGGGCATATTCAGAGTTGGGGCCCCTGCCCTAGCTGGTTTGGCTCAGTGGACAGTGCGTCCGCCTGTGAACTGAAGGGTCCTGGGTTCAATTCTGGTCAAGGCATGTACCTTGGTTGCAAGCTCCTCCCCAGCCCGGGCCCTGGTTGGGGCTCGTACAGGAGGCAACCAATTGATGTGTTTCATATCAATATTTCTTTCTGTCTTTCCTTCTCTCTTCCACTTCTAAAAATCAATGGAAAAAAATATCCTTGGGTGAGGATTTAAAAAGAAAAGAGTGGGGACCCAGGACAGCCAAGACTTCAAGAGGATGGTGGAATTTGGGAATAAGAGGCACCAACGGCTTTTCCATCAGCTTGGAGAACCCAGGGCCGCACGCAGGTGCCTCCGCACTGCGATGCTCATGGTGACTCCTCTGAGAGCCTCCAAAACCAGAACATGGTTCACACTTTGCCAATTTATTAATCATTCGAGCATTCAGCACCTGCTGGAGTGCCAGGTGCTGTCGGCCCAGCGCATGGGCCGCTGTGTGCTTGGTGCCCCACAGCCGCTGGTCGGGGTCGGTAACGCCGCGCACAGAAGTCCTTACTGCTCACAAGTGTATGAGATCGTCGTAAAGAACATGATTACCATTCTAGCTGATGCGTAGCTTAGCAGTGGCTTCTCTGTAAATTAGCGAAAGGCATGTCAGGGTCGGCCAGCAAGTTGCTGGCATAACTGCTTTGCAATCTCATTGGCGGTTCCGCGCTGGCGGAGTTAGGCCGTTGGGCGGGAGTCGGGTGGAACCGGAGCTGTGCGTACATGCTCTAAGGAGTGCTGCCTGGGAGCAGGCATATTGGCAGCTTCGATGCCCTGAGTGGTGTGTGGCCGTTCCACAGGTACGGTGCCACGTGTGCTCACTGCCCGTGGTTCCATGTGGAGTCTGTTTCTCACTCTCCCCGTCCCCGGCCCTGAATGTCAGGGGTGCAGCAGGGCCAACCTCACCCTGCAGCGGGATCCTGTTTGTCACGCCTTCGGTTTAAAGGAAGCATCCGGCTGGCATCTTGGCTCAGTCAGATGTCGGCTCCAGTTTTTCCAACGGCATGAAATGCTTCCTCAGCAAAAGCCAGCCGGGACCTTGTTTTTTGCAGCTTTAGGCTTTGTGTTTGCCATGGACCCTGACAGCCTCGCCAGCACTGTGTTTATTGAAAATAGCAACTGTGGGGAGTTGGGAGGGTAAAGAAGTAATGTTTTTGGTAACAACATATTCATAGCAAACTTACCCTGGAGAAATAGAGCAGTGGGCTTCCTCTCCCTCACTCACCTCCCAGGCATCAGAATTATGCAGAGATGAACCGGGAACGGAGTGGACCCCAAGCCATTGGAGCTGAGTTCCAGAGGCCTGTCTGCGGGCGGTGTGCTTTGTGCTGAAGGCGCCGGGGCCACCGGGAGGGCATTCACCGGCAGGAGCTGGGAACGGCCTCTGCGAACGCCGGTGAGGCCGCCCCAGGAACGCAGCGCTGTCCACCAGCTCAGCAAGTGGCTGTGGTCTCACTGTCCCGCAGGAAGGCCAGGCCAGTTTCCATGGGCTCCCTGGCTTTCCTCGGCCCAAACTGGCACTTACATCTCCAAATCCTCTAGATGAACCGCTGGACGAGGCTAAAGTGATGCCAAAGATGACCGTAATTAACCGGTTTTCAGAGCGTCAGGCCCGCCGGGCAAGGAAGGCTCATCCCTCCTCCGGCCTCAGATGCGCTTCCCAACGAGTCTGGGCTCTGGTCCCCAGGGTCTGTAG